GAGGTTTTTTTTTGGGTCATTATCCTGCTACAGGATGAAACCCTATAAAGGTCTGACTTCCTTTGTTAATTGCCTTTTTCCAAATAATGCTTTAGAGGATGTGATAAGTAAGCAACAAGAGTTGGGACTCCTGCAGGAATTGTTTGCACCAATTTTCAAAGCGTAATTTACTCCTACTGCTGCAGAAAAGTAAGCTAACCTATTATTTGATCCCTGAAAAAAAAAAAATCATATTTTACATTAAATTTATGCACATTGTTAGTTTTTGTTGACTCTATTTCTCTCTGGCAGTTTAGTTCTTAGTTTTATACCATTTCACTGGACTTGAACTGCTTAAATGTCAATAAAAATGGGAAAATAGGGGATTTCTAAAGCTTTGGACCTGCACTGTATTAGAAATAACTGCATCTGAGAGTTGTTTGAATGACCCAGGTGTATTTCAGACTTTAAACACTGCACTTTAAAGTGTCCTAAAGCAAAATGAGCAAAGCCTTGTCATTGTCCACTGCTGGCGATCCTGTTTGCACGTGTTGGAGGTTGTTTGTATATCAGCCTCCTCATACATTACTCAGCTGCATGAATGAGTAGAGCAGATTCACGGAGGCAAACTAAAGCTGCTGACTAGGGAACAGGAATAATCATTTTTGCCTCCAGGCACCTCCAGGCGCAGTCGCAGTCAGGAACTGAGACGATTCTTACTGGCTTTGCTTGACACCGAAACTGACAGTTTATGTTTTGACAGAAATGAAGGGAGGTTTTTTTTTTTTAACCAACAGACTTTTTTCTGTTAATGCGACCTGCAGGTTGGCTGTTGTTATGCAAATCAACTCTGTAAGTCAATAACATGGGAAATAGGGAAATATGCAATTTAAACACTTCATAAAAATAAAATGTGTAGGCTAAAATATTTATTTGCTAGTGTACAAATGGCAAAATGAACCCAATTTTTTCATGTTTATGTTTTGTCAATAATTTTAAACACTGCCACCATATCATAATACCACCCACATCTGTCTCAGATTCTAAGACACATAGTCAGCCTGTAAAGGTAAAAAATACAACAATAACTACAACAAAAATTACAACACAGAGCTCTCTTGCCTGTGTGACAGAGAAACTGTGAGCCATGCCAAGTCTTCCCCAAAGCGTAACTGTTCAAACTGCCAACTTGGATGACCAAGTAGCAGTAATAAGCCAATAGGCTTTGTCCGTGTCCAGGCAGACCTGTTGGTGCACCTGCTGATTGCCAGGCGTCATTGAAAATCTTCGACAACAGTGAAACTCAGCAAGAGTGAAACTGGCTCAGAGCCAGAGGAAAAGCCGGTTGACTACTCCTGACACAATCGCTAAAATCAGGGGATCCTGGGAGGAGGACCAGCTCTCAGTGTGGAGATGAGAAATATAGATGACTAACCATGAGAAGGAACAGTTCACTGAACTCCTGGGAACCTAAAACCTGTCCAACATGGCCTTGTTGATTACTCAATGAGTATACTATGACTGCACAACCTGTATGAGCTGTACACCTGTACACCTGTCTGTGCTGGTATTATGTGTGTTTGCACAACCGTTGCATTTAATACTGTTCAATGTTATTTTTCATGGTTGATTTTTTTTAAGCAAAGGACTTTGCAAAGCATCAGTGTTCTGTCAAAAGAGTGTCATGTGCTGTCTTGACCCAGGACTGCTGCCTTTCTGGATGATAATGCCCTCACATAAACATGGACATCCTTTACCTATCTGCAAAACACAATCACAAGTGTAAAGCAATGCTAACAGGATAAGCCTTTTTATTAACAGTGATCACATTTCAAAGTGTTTCTTTGATTCACACCGAGCTGTCAGAACAACGAGGGCTTACAGGAGCCGGTCTACAGTATATTTAACAAATAATAATGGTTTATTAAAACTTAGTTTTGGTAATTTTGTAATATTTTATTAGTTATGGTAATATTGCACTAAATTATTGCTTAAATCTGGGAACATGGTAACAAAGTCTTTTGGGTCAAGTAACATAAACAATAACATAATGAAACAGGCTGCAAATAAGCCAGCAGGTTGTCCTGATCATCTACACCACTTTATTTGGAGAGAAAATAGAGAGTGAGTCATTGCACAGAAAAACTGTGCCTGCATTAGCAGTGATGGAGGTACTTTAATTCTTTACTTTAGCAAAAGTGACACTATTACGTTGTAAAATTTTATTGTATTTTTTTCTTTTATTGATAAACTTCTAGATCTCAGCAATGAACCTGGACAAAACTAAGAGTCTAAGAGCTGTAATAAACTGAAATGATTCTGTGGCCTGCAATAACAAGATTTTTTGACTATGTGGGGGCAGCACAGCAACCTGTAAACGTACAGTAACACTGTATCACCTTTTTTGAGTTGATATTGCAAATAGTACACAGGACAACATTAACATTCATTTAGGTCACTTTGTGTTCACTGGATGAATGTATATATTCTGTCCTTCTAGCTCTGTTATGATCTCCACTAATTCCTGAGAACAAAATATCTGGTTCTTTAGCTGCTAAATACTCTACTATGTTTACCAGCTAACCTCTAACTTTAAGTTAAAGATATCAAAACTCTCAGTGGAACTAAGGGGGAATTGCAGAGTCAGTGATAACACAGTGTTGGCTCGTCATTACAAGCAAACTCCTTAGTCATCTGATCCACCATCAGTACGAAAATACAGTACCCTATTACTTCTGGTGTCCCTCTTAGATTGTCAGTGGATCAAACTTTGCTAGCACCAGCTACGCCCTGAGGGTCAAAGCAAAGTTCATCATGAGTCCATTTGTGTCAAAGGTGTCAAATGACAAAGTACTAGCTTCTTTTTTTGACATCTCCATACAAGGGCATTAGGCCAAGACATAGAATGTTACCGCTGTAACCCGCTGCTAACAGCCGTTCAAACAGGATGCCAACAGGTGACATAACTGTGTGATGTACGCCACACTGACTAATAGCAAACAGATTGCTGATCTATTGGGGTGAGTGTCTTTTTAATCCTCTTGCTCATCTGTGACTCATCTACCCTGTTTGGAACAAACGCGCTGGCGAGCTGTCAGGTCCAAAAGTGTTTTATAACCCCCGCTCTGTCTTAATGTGTCCCTGCTGTGTTCACCTCAGTCTGCTGTACAAAAAAAAAATCTTTTGACCATGTTCACTTTTCTTCAAAATAAGTATAACCGGCTTTTAAAATGCAGTTTTCATGGTAGAACCTTTTAACAAAAGTCATTGATATAGTCAGTTTTCATGAACAATGTGCCTACTCCTCATTCTAATAAAGCAGCACGCTGCTGCTGTGGATTCTCAGTCAGTGAATTTGACTCAACAACTGTCCTCTGAATGCCACTCTAGCCCTCATAATCAAACACAGCAACCAGCCATGGCATGGTACTGCCAAACCCCGTCAGCAGTCATGCAGATTGCATTAGAATTGTTCAAACCACGACACAGCTGGAGGCCAGAGGTTACTTAACATATCCTTGGATAGAGAGTTGGTTGAGGAAAAGCACCTGGTGTGATGATGACTATTCAGCCTCCCTTTAAAGCTCAGCGCTCACTGCTCTTTAAAAAAACTCTTCCGTGAATGTAAAGTAGTTACTAGTAGATATAATTAAGTAATTGGCTGTGAATTGCACAGCTGTTCTAAAAATACACATAGCACAGACGTCATCATTTGGACTTCATTTATTTGCATCACATCACTCCGACAGGTAAAAAAGATACACAGGTTTAGAGAGGGAGATGGTAAACTGCGATTAATGACAGTGGTACAAATTTAACAAGAACAGTTTGTGGGGTACATTAATGCAGTTAAAATCCATGTCTTATTTAATATTTTATCAGCATTAGAGATTAATTGTTTTAACAAACAGAACAAAATATACATTAAATTGGCTTCTATAAGAAGCATAGTAAAGTACAGTATAACTTTCTTTTGTACAGATGTGACACACACACAATCCAAAAAAGTGTATTTCCTTACACTTACATTCACACAGGCTGTTTAGCATCCTCTAAATAAGGAGTGTATTGAACACATAAACAAAGAGGAGTGAATAAAAAACCCAAACTGATGGTGGTGGTTGGAGGATGGGCAGGGTGGAAGTCAAGACTCCTGCAGTGCTTGCTTTTACAGATGCAGATTGATGAGAGACGGGAACAAAAAAGCCAAAAGTTACTGCTCCCCTGCAACCTTCTGCCTCAGACAATAGGATTTTGAAACAAGTTTCTTTGCCAATTTCAAGACTCAAACAAAAGAAATACATTTGTTTCAGATTTGTTACCAAAAATCCTCCTGCTGTGCTTCTTATTCTTAAATGCAAAGAGAGCTCCTCATCAAAAAATGTCAGCGACGATAGCCCTGTCACTTGATTAACTTGAAGACAAGAAAGTACCTGGCCAAACCAGCCAGGGGAGCATTTACATACAGGTAAGAACTGTTAGGTATTTTTAGTCAGATAGAAATTGGATAGATACTTTATGTATTAGACATGTTTAGTGGATATAGGATGTCTAGTTAGACTGTTAAATGCTTAGGCATGCTTATGAGTTTCTACAGGGTACATCTGGTCAAGGATAACTAGAGAGAAGAGTTGATGACTGTCAGCAGACAGGGTGTTTAATATTATTATTATGACGTGTATAACTGTAGCCTTAGCCATAATATGTTCTTATGTTTAAGTCACGACATGTACTAGAGGTCGTGTGAGAATGTTTTTAGCTACACACCACTTAATCAACAGACACACACACATTGATTTGCTTCATGTTTTGACTACTGCTATGACCAGCTGCAAAGCTGGTAACAGAGACGTCTTGGTTGACGTTTCTGTGTAGTATGGGGCTAGCCCAACCGAGGGGATATAATGTATAGGCCTGGTGGGTTCAAGGTCTTTTCATCTTACATCTGCCTGCGAGCAGTTTGGAGGTGCAAGATACCTGAGCGTGTAATGTTAATTTTTGCCTGTATTCATGGAATAAATCAGCACAGTTTTGTAGTTACTTGGACTGTCTCGTCTCTCAGAGTCAGTATGGTAAAAAGTACCGGGTAAAACAGAACGCAGCACCTTGCACTGCAGCTGGTGCATATAAATAGGCTAGTGTAGCCAGACAGCAAGATCACATCAGAGAAGTGGCTAACGCCCATCTGCTAATACACAGCTTTATACTTTCTGTTTACAATAAAAGGCTGCAGTTGGTAGCAAAGCACACCATGCAAATTCATAGCATTTACATGCTGGCCTGATTGTTCTCTATTTGGCTGTGTGTTCAGTGATGGCTCATTAGTGATGTATACACATGAAACCATACTATACTTTTTTTATGAGACTTTGTTTTTTTTTTTTTTGCCCTAGAACAATCAAACATTTGAATATGATATAAACAACAGTGCTGTCCTAAGTCCGTCTGCTGTAGTGTGAAAACAGACGCTGGCTGAGAATGACCCAGAATCCTCCCTACCTTCTCCACCATCTCCACTGATGCTAGTGCCCAATGCTCACTGTGCTCATGTCTCGTTTCCCTTGCACCATTTGGCATCCCAGGGTACAATAAACCAAATATGTAACAGGGAAATATGCTGAAATGTCACAGATTACAACTGTGACATCAAAACGAAGTAAATAATTGAAATAAATAAAAACAGCATCCATAACCCACAGGGTTAACAGTCAGACAAAGCAGAAGAACTTCTTCCAGCTGCATCTGGAGAAAGCTTTTGTTCGCCTTTCAGAAGACCTCCTCTTCTTGTTCTTGCGAGCTTTGTTCTTAATGGCAGCAAAGATGGCCGCATCAAACGCCTCTTTCAAGTTCTTTTGCGTGAGTGAAGAGCACTCAATATAGTCCGTAGCCCTGATCTTCTCCACCATGCTTCGGGCCCGCGAACTCAGCACTGGCTTGACATTACATTTGTCCAAGTTGATGAGGACGTTTACATCCAACAAGAGGTCCGACTGAGTACCAACAACAACAATGGGCGAGGACGGGTTATAAGCCCGGATCTCTGGAATCCACTTTTTGGTAATGTTGTGAAATGAGGAGGGGTTGACCACACTGAAGCACAGGAGGAAGACATCCATATGGGCATAGGATAGAGCTCTGAATTCATCAAACTCCTCCTGAATGGAACATAAAGAGAGAAAGCACAAGTTAGTATCAATCAGATTACATACAGACATGTTTGAGAAAGGAGTGACAGAGACTGACTAAAAGTGTCATGAAGAGATCATCCTTTAACATGCATGGTGAAATCCTGGAAATGAGTCACGTTGGATTAATCATGGATGTGACACAGTTTGTACCTTCATAGTTTGATGTTATATTAGTTTGTGCCAACTGAGAAAAACAATCCATTAAAACCACATTACAATTGTCTGAAAAAGACAAACAACAACTGATAGTTTTACCTGTCCAGCGGTATCAAGAAGCTGAACTTTGACTGGAGATCCTTCTACTTGGACCTGACCTGTTGGAAAACATGAATCCTTTAGTTTCAATTTGATTTGCTTATTTTCATGCATATCTGAATAAGAAATAAGGGTTTGACCATCAAAATCTTACAGTCTATTAAAATACAGCCTACATAATACCAGTTGACACCAAAGCCCTGTTTTCAAATGTCTTGTATTATCAACTTTCAGTGTCGATAAGTATTATCGACAACTTATTAGGCTAAGGAAAAACATGTATGTTCAGACCACCCACCGGAGAAGACGTCAAAGCCAGTCTGTTTGTATTCTGTCGGGTATCCATTCAAGGTGTAGCTGACAATCATGCTGGTCTTCCCGACGGCTCCGTCCCCGACCAGCATACAGCTGATGACATCTGGATCCCTCTCATCTTCCAGGGTCAGCCCGCATGCGGACGGGACTCGGGACTCGTGGTAAAAGTAATCCATGTGAGGTGGCATGTCGAGCCGCGCATTCACCTTCTAACAGACTCTCCCTCCTGTCTGATCTCCGTGAGACTAGGTAGTGCGAGTTAGCTGAGTCGTTCCTATGTCACATACCACCGGCTGGACGATCCTGCTCCGACTGACGGGCGACAAGTGTGGGCGGGATGCATTTAAGGCAAGTTCGTGCAGGTTTGATTTGCATAGACACGCCCACCGAAAAAGAAAATAAAGAGATAATCCCGGACAATAAATAGATAGATAGATAGATAGATTGCCACTTTTCACTATTACTCTGACTGTCAGAAGGTGGCTGTATCTTCTTTGACCATAGTTTCTCCAAGAACACTCACAAATTTATTCAGCCAATATCATCAGTGGAAGTGTTGTGTCCAAATTGATCTCACCAAGATTTTCATTTGTATGGCAAACGTTTATTTAAATTCAAGATTAACCTTTATTGCTTTTATTTTTATGTATTTTTAATGTTTGATGTGTATTTATGTATCATTTGTTCAATGCCAGTTTTCTTGGATTTATAACTATTTTGTTACATTCCTGAAGCATCTGTTATAGCATGGTTAAACTATAGCTGTTGTTTATAAATCCATTGTTTAATAAAGCATAAAAACAACATTATGCACTAAAACAATACCGAGTAAAAAGCCAAAATGTTGTCTATTGGCACACACGGGTTCATTTGTAACCAGCTGTTATTAAACTTCATTTGTTGTGGGCTAATAGGCCACATCCATGCCAAACATCCCATAACAAAACTAGTTTGTCAGGCAGTATGCGCTCTGTGCACAAATGCGGGTGAACTACGCCACCTAGTGCCAAAGAAAGGCAGCACAGTCAATGTGGTCACATGACTCTGTTGTCACCTGATTATCCACCCAGTGTTTGTAGTTGGAAGCAGAGGTCTGTTGTGAGCATAAATATTGAAATTTCACACACTCTTCTGTTTATGCAGTTGCGTAAAACGTCTATTCTACATATTTATGCCAGATTTAGACGCATGCGGAGAGAGGAATTACGATGGTGAGTCTTTAATGGGTGGAAGCTAATGATAGCGAGCGAGCTAGCGAGCTAGTGTTAGCCATGTCGTCTTAGAATTGTAGCTTGGTGAGTCTTTTTTTTTAGAAACTCATTTACTTGGATTGGAAAAGGGCACATTCAACAATGGCTTCAATTATCGAGGACTTTGAGGACTCGCAAAATACCAGGCACGGTGCTCAGCAGCATAGCCACATGTCACGTGCCAAGATCGGGCTATCACATTCAGGTAGGTCGCTCTCTCTTCTGGACATCTGCCTGATGAACCACGTTCAGTGATGGTATTAGGATTACCTGCGTGTAACCTAAGACCCATAAACACTGTTTTTACAGACACTAACATGTTCCCTCACGTTAGGCTTTGTGAATGTGAGACTTGAGGAGGAGAAGCCGATATTCAACAAGCAGAGGATTGATTTTACACCGCCTGAGAAGATAAACCACCTTGCAGTCTGCAACAATCAGCTCTGCATGAGTCTGGGAAAGGACACTCTGCTAAGGCAATTGAAACCAGCTTCACAGTCTTTCATAAGCACTTCAAACAATACAAGTCGTCACGAGTGTTTGTATAATTTTGATTGGATTTGTCTGAGTTAATGTCTTTTTCAGTGTGATTACTCATCTTTTGTTAGCTATTGTTTACTGATGCATCTAACCAGTTAGTTGTTACTGCAACTGATACAAGATACTGATACTAATGCTTTAAAGTTCTTTTGTGTTTTCTATACAGGATTGACCTGGCCAAGCCAGATCAGCCTAATCAGATTGAATTAGGAAGGAAAGACAGTAAAGTGCACAAACTGTTCCTGGACCCCACTGGTGAGATAACGCCACAGCACTCATTCAGTTTTTCTTTTCAAAACATTCCCTATAGGCCACAATGAAATTACTACATCACTATAATGTTTATTTTTTTGATTACAAGTTTTTATTGAAACACCAGCAACAACAGTTTGGAACTGACAATATATGATTATTCCATATGGGATTTTTTTTGTAACTTAAAATTACTTCTGAATTGTTCCCCTGTTTTTAGTAAAGAGAGAATAATTGGATTCATATTGTTAATTTAGATGTGACTTCCTGTGAGTTTGCCTCCTGTCATTTTGTGCTTTTGATGTTTTCTAAATGTTAATAGATTTTGAATAGCGTTTGCATTTTCTGTGGACTGTATTGAGTTGCTGCTGGGTATTTTAAATCCAAATAAAGAGTTTTTTTTTATTCTTTCATACATTATAGTGTATTTACATACTTAAAGGGTATGCTGTAGGAACTGATTATGTAAAAAGATAGGAATATCTAAACACAAAACTCATGCTTTGTATTGCCTAGCCTGGATTACTTCAAAATTGGTTTTAAGACAGAATTTTTTCATGTGATTTAAATTAAAAACATTTCAGGAAAGCTGCAACACCAGTGCCCCAAGTCCTTATGTTAAATGCCTGATGATACTGTAGCAGTGTCATTGTTATGACTCACTAACAACAGCAGGTATATCCTTCACATTTTCCCACTACAGGCTCCCACCTGCTGATAAGCCTGAGCACCAGTGAGTGTCTTTACCTCAACAGGAACACCCAGAAGGTGCGTAGTCTGTCCCGCTGGAGAGGCCACCTCATCGAGAGCATAGGCTGGAACAAGCTGCTGGGCAGTGAGACCAGTACGGGACCCATACTGGTTGGCACCAGTCAAGGCATCATCTTTGAGGCTGAGATCTCTGCAAATGAGGGCAGCCTGTTCAACACCAACCCAGATCAGTATTTCAGACAGGTTAGAGAATGTTTTTCAGTTATGGCAGGACAATCAGTTTTATGTATGTAGTATAATTTATTTAGTTTAGATTTTTCTAACTATAACAATATCCGGGAGTGCTATTTTTAGCTACATATGAACACCTGCATATTTAATTTATTCTGCAATAATATCCTGGGGCAGGTCCACTCCCTGGAAGAGGATGGCGAGCCAGCACCAGTCTGCTGCCTGGAGGTGGAGCGTCCCCTCCTGGAGAACAAGTGCTTCATCATCGCCACCACGCGCAAACGCCTGTTCCAGTTTGTGGGTAAGATGGCTGAGGGTTCAGAGCAACAAGGTTTCAGCTCCATCTTCAACCAGAACCAGGACCTGCTGCCCAGTTTCCAGGAGTTTCCAGCCAACATGGGTTACAGCGAGATCACCTTTTACACTTCGAAACTGCGAACCTCCCCGAAGGCGTTTGCTTGGATGATGGGTAATGGAGTTCTTTATGGTCAGCTGGATTATGTCAGGCCTGATTCCTTGCTGAGTGATGTGCAGGTAAATGTCTGTGTCTTGGAAAATGGGCAAATGTCTCAATAAATATTTAGCTCTACCCTCTCCACATTTCACATACTTTGACTGTATTTCTTCTCTTGTGATCAAACAGGTCTGGGAGTACACCCCAGACATCGATATTAGTCTCAAGAAACCAATCTCCATTGTGCTGACACAGTTCCACTTCCTGCTCTTGCTCCATGACCGAGTTAAGGCCATCTGCACTCTGAATGGACAGGTGGTATATGAGGATGTGTTCCCAGATAAATTTGGCACCCTTAAGAAGATGACCAAGGACCCAGTTGGTGGGTTGGTGTGGATCTACACTGAGCGGGCAGTTTTTCGGTACCACATCCAGCGTGAGGCCAGGGACGTCTGGCAGATGTACATGAACATGAATAAATTTGATCTGGCCAAGGAGTACTGCCGTGACCGGCCTGAGTGCATGGACATGGTGCTGGCCAAGGAGGCTGAGCACTGCTTCCAGAATAAGCAGTACCTGGAGAGTGCCAAGTGCTATGCAATGACACAGAACTATTTTGAAGAGATAGCACTCAAGTTCATTGAAGCAAAACAAGAAGAAGCCCTGAAAGCGTTCTTACGGAAGAAACTAAATAATTTGAAACAGGGTGAAAGAACACAGATGACTTTGCTGGTCACCTGGCTAGCAGAGCTCTACTTGAACCGCCTTGGCCAGCTGGAGAGCAATGGTAACAACACTGTCTTTCAGGAGGCCCGTAATGAGTTCAGAAACTTCCTTGGCAGTTCCAAGCACAAGGAATGCCTCTTCAACAACCGCAGCACTATCTACGACCTGTTGGCCAGCCACGGCAATGTGGAGGACATGGTCTACTTCTCAGTTGTCATGCAGGACTATGAGAGAGTGATATCCCATCACTGCCAACACGACGACTACAGCGCCGCTCTGGATGTGCTCTCCAAGCACTGCGATCAAAAGCTTTTTTACAAGTTCTCCCCGGTCCTGATGCAGCATATTCCCAAAAAAGTGGTAGATGCGTGGATTCAGATGGGCAAGAGGCTGGACCCAAAGAAGCTCATTCCAGCTCTAATGAATTACAGCCAGATGGGCAGCACCCAGCAGATCAGCGAAACCATCCGCTACATGGAGTTCTGTGTATATGAGCTCAGTGTGACAGAAGAGGCGATCCATAACTATCTGTTGTCACTCTATGCCAAGTATAGGCCAGACTCTCTACTGTGGTATCTGGAGCAGGCAGGTACACGCGCCTCAGAGATCCACTATGACATGAAGTACGCTCTCAGGTTGTGTGCTGAACATGGCTACCTCCGGGCCTGTGTCCTGATTTACAGGATTATGGAACTGTATGAGGAGGCAGTGGATCTTGCTTTACAAGTGAGTGTTGCATGTTTTTAGGTCAGTTTTGCATGTAAATAAATATTATTCAGTGATAAAACATACCAAAATCATACAACTGTGAAAAATAAATTTTTATAATTGTTTGTAGATAATTATCTAGAGTCAAAAATCCTGGTATCTTTAATTTTAATTCTAAATTTAACAAGTGCTTCTAACTTATTCATTTGTCCATAGGTAGACGTAGACTTGGCAAAGTCATGTGCAGACCTGCCTGAGGATGACGAGGAGCTGAGGAAGAAGCTTTGGCTGAAGATTGCCCGTCATGTGGTGCAGGAGGAGAAAGATGTGAAGAAAGCCATGAACTGTCTGTCCAGCTGTAACCTGCTCAAGATTGAAGACATCCTGCCCTTCTTCCCAGACTTTGTCACCATTGACCATTTTAAGGTTTGCATCAGAGCATTTCTTTTCGTGTCTTTTGAGGAACGTTACAAGCTGCAACAACTAATTGTTTTAGTCATTTCCTAATCAAAAATCCCAACCATTTGTTCATTCCAGCATTATAAATAGCAAGTATGTATGCTTTTTAAGTGACAATAAAACTGAATATATTTGAATTTGAAGATGTCACATTGAGACTTCGACTCTTCCTCAGAAACGAACATGCAGGACTGTTGAGTCCAACAAGATATAGGAAATTATTAGCAGGCATTGTCATTTTTGGCATTTTATTGGCAACACGAGTAATGAACTAATAAAGAAAATAATAAGCAAATTAAATGATAATGAAAATAGTCCTGAGATGCAGCCCTATTGCACATAAATCAAAAACATAAGGGGTGCATGTTTGACTGACTTGCAGAAAGTGCAGTATGTTCTTCAAATCAATGTATTTTTTTCCTCTGTTCATCGTGGTTTCTCAGGAGGCCATCTGCAGCTCCCTGGAGGCATACAACCAGCACATTGAAGAGCTGAAGCAGGAAATGGAGGAGGCTACAGAAAGTGCTAAACACATCAGGGAAGACATCCAAGAAATGAGGAACAAATATGGTGTTGTGGATTCCCAAGAAAAGTGTGCTTCTTGTGACTTTCCATTGCTCAACAGACCCTTCTATCTATTTCTGTGTGGTCACATGTTCCACTATGACTGCCTGTTCCAGGTAACAATTTTTTCAACTCCTCTTTAAACTTTCATTCTAATGATACATTTTGAACATTTCTGAACAACTTGTGATAGTAATTCCCATATGTGCCCTTTTTTCCTTCTTCCTTTTAGGAAGTGACTCCTCACCTGTCATCCTACAAGCAGAGTTGTCTGGAGGACCTGCAGAAAAGGTTGGCTGCAACCACGCAATCCTCAAAGTCCCGACACCGCTCAGTGCCCAAGGATGAAGGAGACACTTCTAGCCTGGGAAAAGGCAATGCAGGAGCAAGCCGCGAGCAGATAAAATCAGACATTGATGACATCATTGCGTCTGAGTGCGTGTACTGTGGCGAACTGATGATCAAATCTATTGACAAGCCGTTTATTGATCCACAGAAATTTGAAGAGGAGAAATCTAGCTGGCTATGAATGAGGCCTCCTCTTCTCTCAATGTGGAAAAACAGACATATGACAGCTCACCATTAGTATAGTAATGAAACTGCATCTCAAATGGGACAAACCCATTCAGTGTTTATAGTGGCTACTGCTGAAAACTCAGCTTCAGTTGTTCTCTACAGAATACACTTTTTTTTTTCCTTGGTAGTATTTGAAGCAACTTTAAAGTTCTTTGCATTTTGAATGGGAGGTTTTAGTGAAAGGGGTGCATGAGGTTATATTGTGGTTAATGCTTTGATACGATCCAGTGATGTAACATATCTACAACGGTGTACAGTGCATATAGTGTGCTTAAACCTCTGATTTTATTGCTAGAAAAAGATTGAGAAAGTGGAACTGTAAATAACTGCATTGTCCATCTATTAACTACATTAGGTTCTGCACTTGTTGACTGAAAACATAACTTCACCTTCACAATACCTGTCTCCTTAGCTGAACTTCTTCAATCCAAAGCTCTGTGTTCATTTAACAGTTGACATGAGGCAGATAAACTATTATTTTATATATTCACTGTTTTGCAATTCATTTGTGGCACATTAAAGCTTGTCAGCACAGATGGGCTGGTTAATATGATTATTTAATATGTAATATTTAACAAACTATCAACTATACTGTGAGAAATCAACATCCATCATCACATCCCTCCATGAGTAGACAAAAAAAGACACCAAGGAGTTGAAGCAAAACATGGATATTCATGCAGGTCAAGAGAAAATATGTAACTGATATGTAAAGCTGTGGTTTAAAAGGAAACTTACATTGAATCTCTACTAGCTCTGAGTCTGCTCTCTGGTGATGCATTTGCGTATATCACAATCATTACCAATATAAATGGCAGTGTTTATAAATGAATATATAATAAGTATGCATTAAATTATTAGGTTCGCAATTAAAACCTCAAATTACAGTTTAATTCATAATTTCAAATTTTTCTGCCTCACTTTACCTAAAACGGAGTTCCCTTCTGAATGACGTAGGACGCAGTTCGGTAATCTTCGCAGTGAGCAGACACTATAAATCGATATCGGAAAATCATCGATACGTTTGTTTTAGCTGCGCATATACAGCCCAAAACGGCATAAGTGGTGGAAGAGACTCTCGTTTTATTAGGGAAATGTATCGTTGGTATTTCTTGTCGCAGTCATGTTCTTGGAAATGTCGTTGAGTGATCGTCCCTTTCTCTGCGTTTGATTAAAATGCCTGCTTCTTGCTGTATCCTCGCCATGGCGTCGTGTCTTTGCTCTCTCAGTAAGAGAAAGTGGCCGCCTCTCTGCTGTTGCTGCCGACTCAAACCTCACAGACTCGCTCGGCGCCTCAAACCGCCATTTTGGAGTCAGAGAAGCGAGAGTCGGCAGCAGCTAGGAGAGAGACGAAAAGGGGGACACGGGGCCGAGGTGAGAGACTCCGTGGTGGTTGTTATGGCGAAGGAGCGATGGGGGAAGATGGCCGGGAGGGAGAAAGAATTAAAACATGGGGATCATTCGTTCACCAGGCAACCGAGTCCCCGCTCGTGTCCTTAATAAGGATACGAGAGGCGCGGGCGGAGGGCCTTGCTGTCGTTCTGTCGCGACTAGCCTACTAAAGGATTGCCATTAAACTACTATAATATCTTAATACATTGTTTAGGCAGGGAGGTGGTGGCCTTAAAGAGACAGGGCCGATTTGAATACTTCATATTAATGGTGTGAGAGGACGCCTGTGTCAAAACGCCTGTTTGATAAGCTAACGTTAATGATGAAAAGCTACATTAGACGAGTTAGCAAGGAGACTGACGCCCTGTAACAAAGACTGCATTCGCAGCTGCTTTTCTTATTACTCAAATTGACACATTTAGTGTGGTTAACTTAAGTCAGTGTATGTGTACACGGCACCTTCACTGTTTTACTATCACTGATTGGGAGGCAATGCGCTTACATAGCGAGGCAGCTAACGGTCATTAGCTTGCACGCTACAATCCAGTGAACCGTCCAAGGTTAGCTAGCAAACATTGGCTAATAGTAGCTAGGATTTACTAGTTAGCTATTGATAACATAAGTCGCGATTGCAAAGGAAGATAGCATTTAATATTATATAAGATAATACCGCTCTGTTTGTCTTCACTTTAAAACGAATACCAAACTCTTACTGGGATTTACTTTATCCCTCCTCCCACATGAGAGGCAGTGTACATGTCTCAGAAAGTCGTGAATATGTAATGAGTAGTAATAACAGAGAACAACTAACTTAACTTTTGCTGACGTTACCATACGAACGTCAAAACAATTACTTATGCACTTGAATAAAATAACGCTGCAAATTAAAACGTGGCGAAGTTACTTTTATATTAAAACTTGTATAATCAAACTTTACATTGTAAAGGGTCCGAAATGGTCTTTTAATAAACTGTAGTGAATGAGATTAGTGCGCAATACAGTTGCCTAACATATCTTCAGTATGTGACAAAGGGACATTATGAAGAACTGTTCTTATTAAAGAAGTAGACGAACCAGCCTGTATAATTTTTTTCACTATTTACATTATAAACATGCAGGTACATGGTGTACGTTCAATTCACAAGCACACAGATTGTCAGTATTGCACAATAAAAGAAATTCCCTATAAACAGAACAATTAATATGGAAAGGCATAAAAACAGTTTTCAGATTTGTCCTCTGGATATCAGTGTGTCACTGTGTTTTTCTTGTTTTGCAGGGTTTTTCTACTTTGTCTTGTTATTAATCTTGGAATCAAGATTAATGATGTTCCTTACTGAGGAGGTACAGTAAACCATGAGCTGGTACCATTCTGCATGTCCAGCCATTAGCAGAGAGTAACCTTATGTTTGGCACAAATAGCTGTTTCATTACTGTGACTACATCTGAGATGTGGGTTGAGATTAGCATCTCTCACAGTATAGATGTGACTACCTTGGGAAATCTGGACTGTGAAAATGATTTTAAAACTGAGAGACTGCTTCTTCTTCTGGTTCAGCTTCCCATAAGCACTTTACAAATCCTGTAACGAGGTATGAACCTTCGTACTTCCAGTTAAGTGGATGACAGTAAAGACATTTAGTACCTAATGTCCTAGTATGTGTCCTTACTCAACCCATATTTTGCAGTGTTTTGTACTGCTCATTCCAAATTTGAGCCATCTGTTTACCCCTCTTTGTCTATCTCTCTTTCTTTTCTGTTCAGTAAAAGGTCACTCATTCCAAATTCGAGCCATCTGCTTACCCCTCTTTGTCTATTTCTCCTCTTTCTTTTCTGTTCAGTAAAAGGTCCTGCCCTGCTGGGCAGAGGTATCGTTGGTACTGCATGGCATCAGAGCAGGGTGGCCAGCTGGAGGTTGGGGCATCAGGGAGCTCTGGCCTAGCCAGACCGCTTTACCTGCAGCGCTTAGAAAGATCCCTGAGGTTGGACAGTTTCCTCCGCCAGACCGCTGCCATCTTCAACAGAGACATAACCAGGTACAGACAGAGGAAAACTGCGGCTGTTCATTTACATGTACAGTAGCTCTCAGACTTAACAACTGGTGGGTTGTTCCAGGCCACTCTCTAGGATCAGTTTCAGTGGCTGTTGGAGTTTGAAGGTGGCAGCTATTGCCTGGATGTGGAGATTAGTGCTATAAGTGCAAATTTGCTCTTATGAAGTTGAACTAATTGTAGCTAAGAGAATATTAAAACTGTAAGGTGCATTGTAGCAAACTTTCACCCTTTTTGTAAACATACTGTACTATTAAATTAAGCAAAAATGTAATTTGAGTGTAACTCACATTGTCTTAGATTACATCCAGAAGATCAGGTCAGTAGTACCTAATGCCCTAGCACAATAGATCCCTTTGGCATGCAGTATTTCTACTACCAGACATGCAGTATCTACAAAAAAGATGAAACATGCAGTATATGCAAACATGCATGTTGGGCTCAACTACATTTTTCTCATCTTGTAGTGATGACAGCGATGACAGCGATGTTGCACTGGGGATAGGGCTATCCCTGGACCCCTCCACTCAACATACAGCTCTGATAGTGAAGAGTGAGTCATGTGAGCAGGGGGATGGGATGCCAGAATGCAAACCCCTCAATGGAATTCTGGTGCAAGGTAAAGGTGAGATATATACATTTTTCATCTCTTGCTCCTTGCTTTTGTCATACCCTGCATAAACACTTTAGTACTGCTACATTGACCTGTGACCTTTTTAACTATTGTTGCCTTGTTTGTTTGTATTTGCTGTTGTCTTAGGCTGAATAAACTATGTAATTTACAACTATGTTTTGATATAGTTGTACAGAAGGTCCTCTTGCAAGACAGATCTTAATCTCAATGAGATTTCCTGTCAAAACTAACTAACTAGTTTATGGAAAATATGGTTCATACACAATTGTTCATTCATTCATTGTGTCAGATTTTACATCTGAGCTGTTTTTCCCTTCCCTGTAATCCCTGCAGACCAAAAGGCAGATAAAACAAACTTCTACAATTTCTCCAAGCTGAAGAAGAACAGGAAATGGCTCAAGGTATTTAGAAACATATTCTACATTGTATTACAGTTTTAAGCATTCAGTCAACATATTGGATTAAACAAATAACCAACACATTTATAGATATAAATCATTAGCTGTAGCCATCAGTTTCCCTCCATATATCCCCTTCTTCTGAACATTTAGCTGCCATGTTTGCCTCCTTTTTTTATACACTGAACATACATCACACACAGTTAGTTTCTTTAATCACGTTCCTCCTCTGTCTCTTGCAGAGTATCCTGTTAAGTGACGACACCACAGACTCAGACACAGACTCAGATGACTCTGATTTCAGTTTGTCGCGGGAGGACCTGCATGACATGCTGAGGCTACATCGCTACACCAGGCAGCATCAGAGCAAGTTCCATTCTGACCAGGAGGTACAAACTCACATCACATGCACCAGATAATTGCAATGACACGTATACCACTGAGGTATGTTTTTGAAATGTCATTATATTTTTTCGTCCGCGTATATTTTTGCTGTAGCTTCACCAATATCAGTACTACAGCACTGGACTCCTTTCTACTCATGATCCCTTCTATGAGCAACAGCGCCACCTGCTGGGCCCCAAGAAGAAGAAAATCAAAGATGAGAAGAAGCTCAAGGGTAAAGTAAAAGAAGAAATGTCTGGAATCTCTTGAGTCACAGGCTAGCCACTCATGTAAAGTTTCCAAATTTTTTTTCAGCCAAACTGAAAAAAGTGAAGAAGAAGAAGAAACGTGGAGAGGGAGAGTTTCTGGATGAGGGACGTCCTTATGTCACCAAGATCTTTGCAAAGTTTTCCCACGATGCTCCAGTGCCCATGGTGAAGAAGAAACATCTAACTATTGAGCAGCTGAATGCGCGACGACGTAAGGTCTGGCTCACTATTGCCAAAAAGGAGATCCCCAAGGTTAGCGTGCATGGCACTTGTAAAAACATACAAGTTAAATAAGTTAATACTCACAGATTTAATGTTTTTTCCAGTGAAATGTTTCTGTCTTCCAAGGTTTATTAGTCCTAATTGTCCTATGTATTACCCATTTTGCAGTCTTTCAAGCAGAAGACCTCTGCTAAGAACCTAGTACTGACCAATACTAAAAAGGTAAGCCAAGTGTACACACTGCTGTGTTGATGGTACAAAATTTTAAGGGAAAACTGAAAAAAAAATTTTTTTTTTATAATTTTGTGAGAAATACTTACATACTGTCAGATATTTCAACCGACAGTTGACTTGCTGACATCAGCCCTTCATTTTTCGATTGCGCAAAAGTAAACTGCAGCTGAAGGCAAATATTTAACCTCAGTTTTGTTTGTCCCAGCTGGCTCATCAGTGTATGCGGGAGGTGCGGCGTGCTGCTATCCAGGCCCAGAGGAACTGTAAGGAGACATTACCTCGAGCTCGCCGCCTCACCAAGGAGATGATGCTGTATTGGAAGAAATACGACAAAGTGGAGAAGGAGCACAGGAAGAGGGCAGAGAAGGAGGCCCTGGAGCAACGTAAACTGGACGAAGAGATGAGAGAAGTAGGTGGAATAGAAGTTTCCTTAGAGGTGTCTTGTTTGGCTTCTGCTTTCTACAGCAACTTTTTATGGCAGTGTATAAGTTTTGAAACCATATTTCTGTTTGTTTAGATATTGAATATATTACACTGAACATCCTAAACAGTCATATTAAGTCTTATTTTCTATGGGCTTTTTTTTCTGTTTTTAACAGGCTAAGCGTCAGCAGCGCAAACTTAATTTCCTCATTACCCAGACGGAGCTGTACGCTCATTTCATGAGTGGTAAAGCCACTGCAGGGGGTCCAGGTGGAGATACAGGTCAAGAGGAAATCCTGAGAAAGCTCGAAGACACTGTGGCACAGAGACAGATAGACATTGGTGGAGGTGTAATGGTCAACATGGGACAGGAGGACTATGGTATGAATGGTTCAGTCAAATTTATTATGTTAGTGCAGTGGAGTGTTTTTGGCAATATGCTGTTGTGTGAGAAACATCAAATTGAATTGGATTCTATGGTTTTAAGCACAAGGTTATTGTGTGCAATTTCAGACAGTGAATACTACAAGTCCCAGGCCCTGAGGAATGCCAAAGAGGCCTACCAGATTCATCAAGAGAGAGTAAGTTGGTACATGCACACCTTCAAAGGTGTACTACACACTCATTTGTCTGTTTTTACAGTGCTAATCTCCAAATCTCTCACTATAGACGCGAATGTTCGATGAGGAGGCGAAGGACAGTCGCAGTGCGTCTTTACATGCCGCTGGCAGCTCATCGTTGGGCGCCGGCTCCGGGTTTGGAGAGAGCTACAGCCTTTCCAACCCATCCATCCGTGCCGGTGAAGACATCCCTCAGCCCACCATCTTCAACGGCAAACTCAAGGGTTACCAACTTAAAGGCATGAACTGGCTGGCCAACCTCTACGAGCAGGTACCCATGACTGTCTCTGGATGAAATTAGAGACCTCTCTGGACTTGCAGGGCTGATTTTTGCATCTTTGATTTATGGGGACATTTTCTGTATCCTTTATTCTTTTTCCTAATTGTTTCAACTAGCATTTTGCTTGAAATATAAAATTTGTATCTGCTTTTTTGTGGTTAGAGGTGTGAAATTCTAAAATAATTCTGTGCTAGTATTTCCTTAAGACTATATTAATATTATGGCATTAGAAAAATCTAGAGTTGTAAAAATGATCTTCATTCACACAGTGTGAAACGGCTAACATAATACAATAGTTGCAGTGTCACATGAGGTTTTGTTCTGTGGTCATTGCCAGGTGTTTTTTGGCATTGGAATGATATTTCTTTGGCAGGTTTGTACAGATTATGTGATTTATTTTTTGTATTGTTTTCTTATCTTACTACAGGGAATCAATGGAATTCTGGCAGATGAGATGGGGCTAGGGAAGACAGTCCAGAGTATTGCCCTGTTGGCACACCTAGCAGAGGTGAGAGGGAGCACCAGGCCAAAGGGTTTCATTCACTATGCGTATGGAATTTTCAATTGTCTCTGCAGTTGATACTGACTTTTGAAAACATCCAGCTTTGTGTGCACCTGCATCCTTTAGAGAGTCCTTATCATGGCTGAGCTTTTTGCATGTGCAAATATTTAGTTTTATGAGTCAGATGACTTATTTCATTGTTGTGAACAGCTGATTAGCCACCTCTTCTGTTCTTTTGTTCTCATGACTCCAAAGGAAGAAGAAGTGGAATTCAGGGGAAATCTGAGCTTTTTCAGTGTTTATTGAATGTCGCTGACAGGAAGATGCAAGCACCAGCTCTGCTAGTGCTTTCTGTTACTGGGCGCTGCCTACACGTGCACATACAAAGATCACATTCTCTTTTCTCTTCCTGCGCAGAGAGACAATATCTGGGGTCCATTCCTGATCATCTCTCCAGCATCCACACTCAACAACTGGCATCAGGAGTTCAGCCGCTTCGTGCCCAAATTCAAGGTGAGAATTCATGTTGCTGTCTTTGGTCCTTTTTACTTTGCTTATAAACCCAGTTAAGACTGTTTATGTTGGTTTTTGCTTCAATTTGCCACCTGTCTATCTAGAACTAACCATTAGGGGGCAGTATTGTATCATGAATTTTGTGACATTGCTTAAATAACCACAAAGCTGTTAATACTTTGATGAGTGGCTGTTGTTAAAAAGGTTTTTTTTATCATGCTTGAACTGACCTTTGACAGGCTCTGTGCATTCTTGTAGACTAAAGACCATTTATCAAACACATCAATATGTCATCTATGAGTGTGCACATGCACACACACGCACACACTCTTTACACCATGATACGAGTAATACCTCATGGAGCTCAGCTCTCAACTATGCACATTTTCTGTGCTCGTTTGGAAACAAATCAATTCCACTCTGTTTTGCTAATGAAGTGTGAAATGACCCTATTAAACAATTTGAAGATAAGCTTCCTGAACACTCAAAGCAAGAGTGACTGAAAACAATGGAATGCCAGCTTGTGTTGAGTGATGTAATGACATGTAACTTTTTTCACATCACAATCTACATCAACAATTCAGCAACCAGAACAGTGACTCTGAGAACATCACTGTAGCACAATCACAAGTGTTTATTTTTGGTGATACCAAGTTTTTGTTTGTTTGTTTTTCTAACAGAGCAGATTTACCCTTTTTCTTATTTTTAACTTTGCTGATTTGTCCATCAGGTGTTGCCATACTGGGGGAACCCTCATGATCGCAAGGTGATTCGGAAATTTTGGAGCCAGGTGAGGAAGAGCTCATGATGAAGGCATTAACTATGAACATACAGTTATTGAATAGACTCTGCTCTGAAATGCTTTATTGTATTATTTGGTAATTAAATGAAGCCTTATTCTCCCGGTCTGTAACTCTCCGTTTGTGTATGATTGTACAGAAAACCCTTTACACACAAAATGCGCCATTCCACGTGGTGATTACGAGCTATCAGCTGGTGGTCCAGGATGTTAAGTACTTCCAGAGGGTCAAGTGGCAGTACATGGTTTTGGATGAGGCACAGGCACTGAAAAGCAGCACCAGGTAAAGCATTGCCATAGTGACTGTTTCATTATGCAATACTGGCATCTAAACACAAATGTTTTGCGCTGTTAAAGGGCCATGGTGATGTTTTTGCGTTTTTCTGCCCACTCCCTGTGAATGGAGTGTAAGATACCGACCATTTCCCAAAGTTTCTCAGTTTTGTAGACTGACATTTTTCCAAATGCTGGCTTTAACTGTTGAACAAGTCTCAGAGACTGAGTCTTTAACTGCTTTACTAACTACACTTGATTACTCAGTTTTGACAAAAAAATGGTAGTTCTAAAGATCAGTTTCAAGTCTATGCAGTATTACCAGGACCAGAGCCACATAGTTGCTGTTGGGTTGGATAAACACATTCTTCTACATAGTTGTGCTACGGTGTGCTTTGGGGATTGTCATCAGTAATGTACAGTACTAGAATTTGCATTAAATCAGCTAGAACATGCAGTGCAGGCTGACTCTTGCTCTGTATGTGTGTGCACATTTCTCAAATACACATATACAGACCGGCTTTCACAGTTTGTATGAGTTACATAATGATGACAAACTCAGCAACTGTTGCCCTAGATCACCAGGCACAGTTTCTGTCTGCTTTCAGTGTCCGCTGGAAAATCCTCCTGCAGTTCCAGTGTCGAAACAGACTGCTGCTCACCGGAACGCCCATTCAGAACACAATGGCTGAGGTGAGCGACATGTGTGTGTTCATTCGAGTTGGTGTGTGTGTGTGTGTGCAACACCCAGCTGTTGACGAGTTTATGTTCTTGTTGTCTTTCAGCTCTGGGCCCTGCTGCACTTCATCATGCCTACACTGTTTGATTCCCACGAAGAGTTTAATGAGTGGTTCTCCAAGGATATCGAAAGCCATGCTGAAAACAAATCTGCCATCGATGAGAGTGGGTACAACCGTTAGCTATGAGACAAAAATCTCTGCTGTACTGTTTTTCCCTCACAACAGACATATATTCGTGGCTTATTTGTGTGTAAAATCTATAATTTGGGTGCCAACACCGATCTTTCATTCTTGTTCCTGTTACATGTAACATGTTTTGTCGCTTCAGTAACCGTGATTGATGTTTGTGTTCCAGACCAACTTTCCAGACTGCACATGATCCTTAAGCCTTTCATGCTGCGCAGGATCAAGAAGGATGTGGAAAACGAGCTCTCAGATAAGGTAAAAGAGAAAACGCTCTTCTCTTTGTTTGCTGACTCAGTCCAGGGTAATTTAAAATTGAAGTAATAGTAGTTCAGAATTATAGAAAGCTATTTTCCAAAAGACATTTGTTTTTAAAATGACAATTCTGGCTAAATTTCCACTACTCTACTCTGTGGATTGAACAAAATGATAAAATCTCACTTGTTAATTTGAGTTAAGCTTGAATGAATTTTAGCTTCTGTAACATTACTCAGCTAAAAAGACATAATAGCAGTATAATGTTTTGTCAATGCCACATAACCTCATGTCCTTCCTCTGCTGGTTAAACGTGCACCCTTACGTCATCTGTCTCCCTGTGTACCTCACTGACACAAAAAGAGTTATAATAAGCCTGTGAGTGATGCTTGTGCTGGTAGATCCTCTTGACAGATGTTGGACTCAGGGTCTCGTGCTGTCACAAACGGTGCACACATACTCACTCATACGCTGTGGGAGTCTCGATACACGGAGTCAGAGGAATGGCAGAGTTCACCACTCCCCCACATTTGTCTTTTTCACTTTTCTTGGCACCCACATTGCAGTCCTGCCAGCCCACTTCCTTTTCTTCTGCACTCTTGTTGGTTTCTCTTGTTTTGTCAGCATAGTGAAGCCAAAGGTAACCGGTGAAGTTCACTCATGGTTCATGGTTGTGTTGTTGAGTTTCACTGCTTTCATCAGTGGTGCTGGGTAAAATCAGAGCTTTTAATGTGTGTTTAAAGAATGTGGGTCAAGCTGGGCATGAATTCTGACAATTTCAGTAATTTAGTCTTCACTCTTTGAGCCCTACACTTTCAGTATGTTTTCTTTTGTCAGTTTTGCACAAACAAGATAATATTAATGACAAAAATAGTCATAAAGATGAGTTTCACACCTCTACATACTCTGTACTTTGGTGTCTTCCACATACTCTATTTTTCCTCTGCAGATTGAGATCTTGACTTACTGTCAGCTGACATCCCGACAGAGGCTGCTCTACCAGGCTCTGAGGAACAAGATCTCTATCGAGGACCTGCTGCAGTCCTCCATGGGCACTGCCCAGCAGGCTCATAGCACCACCTCCTCCCTCATGAACCTGGTCATGCAGTTCAGGAAGGTACGATCAGTGGCCTGTGTAAAATTGTCCTTGTCGTTTCCAGCGCAAAAATAGAATAGATTAGAACTAGATTACAGCTTGAACAAGTTTTGATTATTTTGTCAGGTGCAGTAGTTATGATGATTGATCACAGCTGTTAGCTGAATAATTTCAGGGTCGTTTTCAGCATCACGTTCTTCATCAATATTCTATAACTTTGGATTATCGAGGAATTTTAATGTTCCAATAGTGATAACGGCGCTGAATGAAAATCAAGGTGTTCAATCAAACAATGAACTGAACCTAGAACAAACAAAAGCATGACTAACACTGGTCCCCTTGCACATTTTACCATCTGCACTGTCTATGTTTGTAGGTGTGTAACCACCCCGACTTGTTTGAGCGCCAGGAAACACGCTCTCCTTTCCACATGTCCCTCAAGCCCTACGCCATGTCTAAGTTCCTCTATCATAATGGCCTCATCCACACACACAACCAGGCCAGGAACAAGTAAGTCCTACCACACAGATAAATTATCTACACACACACACTCATGGACAGTCTTGGTCTGGACAAACATGACCAAATCCAGTGTAAGCAGGTTAAAGTTCCTTCTTTATTATTTTTAAATTACTGTACATTTGCTGTCAAATATATTTGGTTCTTCAGTAAATCTTTGTTCTTTTAGATATTTGCTTGTCTGGGACTCACAAAAGGCTATTATTCCAATTACAGCTATTCATACAGACATGATGTGGGTCAGACTGGGATCAGATTATCATTGCAATTTTAGTCCTTTTGCTTTTTGCCCTGTTGAGTGGCATAACCCAGTTTTTCTCTTTAAATCCTCCTCAGACTGCTTCAAGTGTTGTTGTCTCCCTTCTCTCCAAATTACATCCAGCAGTCTCTTTTTCACAGAAAAGGTGAGCACAAGTCAATTTCTACGAAGCTCTAACCTGTAAATTTGTTTTCTCATCTGAGATCATAACTTTAATTTGCCACTCAAACCTCATTTTCACTCCAGTTTTTCTCTCTTTTACTGTTTTTACTGTTCCTTTCTGATCCTCCCATTATTTCCTCATGTTCTCTTCTGTCTTTGCTTTCCAGGTGATGACAAAGGAAGCTGTTTCTCCTTCCTGCGCTTCATCGACGTGTCACCAGCTGAGATGTCCAATCTCATGCTGCAAGGCACCTTAGTGAGGTGGGCTTTCAGTTTTTATCTTCAGATATGTTGCTCTTTTTATCTTTGTTTCAAAGTAGTACAGTAAATTGGGATAGTGAGTAAAGAGACTGCCCTTCGACAAGGACAGCCCATGTGTCTTAGCAAGATACTGAATGCCCAACAACTTTGGAAGTGCAATGCTGTAGCTAATTACACTCGGCCCTCTTTGTAGAGAAGTGAAAGCTCAAATAGAGATTCTCCTTCATTGTTACTTCTAATAATGGCCACCTTTACTCAGGAGTTGTGGCTCTTTTGTAAAGTATTCTCTTTGCAATTTGTCTTTCCTCTCCGGCCTCCTGCTGTTCCCTTTCACAGATGGTTAGCCCTTTTTCTATCCCTGAAAGCTGTGTACCGGCTCTACTATCAACGCCTGTTTGACCTTGAAGAAGATGGCAAAGCCACAGATGGGGAGGGAGGCAGAGGGAGGTTACAGCCCAGGAGTAAGTGTTTGTCTCGCAAAGACCTGATTCTGTGGCTGAACAGGCCCACCAGCTTCCCCAGCATGCACACAAGCCCTGTGCTACAGGTAAGAAACATACAGACACACAGTGTAAAATATACGTGTAAGAGAAGCCATCTGTAGCACACATGCGTGTGTGACATAAAACTCCACTAGGGAGTCATGTGCCGCTGAGAATGCTGATATTTTCCTGCCAGCATCAGTCAGTGTTTGGCCACACAGAGTGCTCTCTGCCCCAGGCTTCCTCTCCCTCCTCTGGGATACAGTGTGGAACCTAATCCCTTTGTAACCCCATAACCCATTAACACTGTCCTCCCTCCCAGACCCGAGTCTGTACGTGCTTCTGCTTTCAGACAAGCGCCCAGAATCATTAAACACAGGAGACTTTGTTTTAAAGGAGACATTTACACTGGCAGCATTTTCTGAAACAACACTAATGCATCTATATTAATCTGTCAAGCACCAATCTGTCTTTAGCACTTCAGAGGTTGTAATCCTTTAAGGGAACCGGGTTCTGATGACACTGACCATAGCATCAGAAATTGGAGTTAAGTGTGGATTAGGTAAATAGTAGCTTGGGAGATACTAAACCTGACCTCTCTGATAGCTTAGCAGTCTGTGTTATCTGACAGTTTTGTATCACAGCACAGTTCTTTTCTGCTGCAGTCAAAAGCTTTCATGGATTCTGCAGTGAAGCACCACAGGGTCATGGTGAAACGGCACATTTGTCTTTTCCATTTTGTATTATTTGACATTATGGAACTCTAATTGTTAGTTAGGAAGAGACAGTACAAAACAAAATATGTAGACCACCTCAAAGCTGCAGATACTCTAGGGGGCACAGCTTCAAGCATTTTTTAGTCAGTTGGCTTAGCTCAAAGAGCATTCAAAGACATCCTGTCCAATGTTTCATTTAGCAACTGGCAGATATGTATCACATCCTACACCAATTCTAATTTAACTTGTTGGGTGGAAAATAATCAGGAGAAAATGCTGTCAGGGTAATTCCATCCTCCTCTTCCTCCCCTGGCCTCATCAGACTGAGTCAGGCAGCTGCTCAGTGTCTTAGGTTCCCCCTAGAGTGGTTTAAGGAATGCAAGAGCAGAAAAATATAAAAAGCAACTTGAGATATGAGTGAGAAACAGAAAAGCTTGCATACATCTGGAGAGCTATAATACTATATGACCATGCTGACCCCAGACTCCCACTTGAGCTTCTGGAAATTATTCACTCCAACAGTTTTTGCCAACTTCTTCCCTGAAGCTGCATGTAGCTGGCACCCAGTGCCTCTTCTCTCTGCTTGGCTCCTTTCTCTCTGTCTGTGTACCTGACAGTGTAGTCAGCATTGCTTTCAGCTTTCCTGCTGCTCCTGTTGAGGAATTTCAAGAACCAGCGAACTTGAAATACCTCCTCACCGTGCCCTGAGTTTTACCCAGATGGCAGTGAGACGTGCTGTCTATCCCAGTATAAAACAAATCTATCAGCCCTATCTTGGGAAATATAAATGAAAAATACATTTTATATTATATTTGAAACATAATATATACTTGTATAATTGTTTTTTCTAAAGTTCTGTGTCATTGGATGTTTCTACCTTTGCCATTTATCAGTTTTTCAGTCTTCCTTTTTCTTCTTGCAGTCTATCCATCATGCATCTTAAAACCACACAGAATTTTACCCTGCACTGATACCAGTCTTTGCACCTAGTCAGTTACTATTCATTAACAACTTACTCCCGAGGACTTACATTGAACATTTAAAAATATTTGAACATTTAAAAATATTTTTCTCCCTAAATGATCCTGAACACCCTTCTGTTTGGTTAAGCTTTAAATACCTGTATTTTGTACATGGTTAGCTGTTCGTTTTGGTCAATCAGATTCAGTAAACTAGAGAAATGAGTACATGCCAGGCAGCGGTATAGAAATTACTGGAGCCCAAATAAAGAGGATGTCTTTTTTTTTACACTCTGCCATTAGATGGCACTGTGTATCCACCATTGTTGTGGTGCTATCAGTTATCAAAACCATGAGCACTGCACTCACTAACCTCTACAGGCTTCAATTTATTTTGCTCTGTTTTGCAGCACCTTTACATTTGCTGCTTAAATATA